AATTTTGATAGAATCTTTGTGGTACTTTATGTCATCCTGTGTATATTTCTACATGATAATTCTCCATATGGCAATACTCCTCAATGCAGACACCATGCGCCAACCACTAGTGTTCAGCCTTGATAAGCCAGCACAGTTCATGACTTGAAGATGCCACCAGATTCCATGCATGGAACAAAGATCCTGTTTGAAGAAATTTTCCAATTTCCTGATATGCTTAGTAGTACAGAGTCCACAATTTACAGGCATAAAAAGTAGTACAGAGTCCACAATTTACACGCATAAAAATGCCAAGGTACATTATCAACTTTGTTATCTGGTGTATGTTATACTGGTTAGGGAATCTTCTAAATATCTAGTTTGCTTTGTTGATTCAAGCATCAATTTCCCTTCCCAAGTTGCCATTGTTGATGGTGGCACTTCTCACACATTTGCAAGTAGGATACCATCAGTAATGATTATAGTTGGTATTTGGTATAACTTGGTAGAACAGTTCAGTTTTTCCAAGATAAAAAGATTTGCAGGTCTGATTCGTCATGGATCAAGAGTGCAATCATTGCTGAAAAAACTTGCTGTAGATTTGTGTCTTAACAGTGAGACAACGAAAATCAATGAACATTCTCCAAATGTGACAGCAAACTACAGTACATATCTAAATACTTATAATAGGCAAAACTATATATTTACTGATAAATAACTTATCCAATCATATTAAATCATAAGAATTTTTAATTATATTTCTTTCACCTGAAGCTAGAGGAGTTCACTTCGTTCTATGTAAAGTTTTTGAATGGAATTTAATGTAAAATAAGAATTTTCTTCAAACAGAACTATTTATTTGTAAATGCAAGGGATTTAATTTCGAAAAAAAAAATGGAGTAATCGCCCTTTAATTTTCATGAACTATTCGTGTTCATATTAATTTGAAATTATTTTTTGTAATTAAAATGCGTTATACAAAAAACATTAATCTTAAAATTGTCTTTTCAGGCTTCAACAAGACATTGACAACACGCTGAATTAGTCCATTTTTGTGATGAGTAATCACAATTTTAATATGACTGTACAAAAGATTTAAAGGGAAAAGAAACCAACATGAATAAACTAGGTTTGTTCTTATACAAGTGGTGGGTGCTGGAAAAATCTAGAATCAACCAACTTCCAATGTGTGCTGTGTTAATGATAACTCAAATGTAATGACATTTCTTTGCATCAAAGAAAGTAATCTTTATTTAATATGATTAAATTCTGATAAGATAGAGCCGCATTTTTTATTATTAGAAAATATGGTAACGATTTTATTGTCCCTGTCGCTCTAGAGCCCATCTTATTTGAGGTAGATATTGTTCCTTAAAAGATCGATCATTCACTCTTCAACTCTAATATCTTTGTTAATATGTTCAATGAAAAAATGTTTTACTATTTTGTAAGGGAAACAACTCTTACTCAACACGTTGAGTTTTATTGCATTCAGATCCCAACTGTTTTCATTTTATTGTATTTTAATGTTTTATGAAAATCATTTCATTAAAAATGTTAATCTATTAACAGAAATTAAGAATATTTATTATTTTCACTTTTTCATTGTTGTAGACTTTTTACTTTTTAAAATACTCTAAGCATCTTTCTATCCTCATATTGTATGAGATGATATATTTCTTTGTGTAACCTCAAGATGGTAAGTTCAAAATCTTTACACGAATACAAGTAGGAAAATATCTCGTCTACTCATAATCGCCAACAAAAAGACAGGATTGTTCACTATATATTCTTTCTTTACTTACCCTCACATAAGTACCTCCACGAGATCACTAAAAAAAAGAGCATAGCATGATGAAAAAGACGCCAAACTTGACGAAAACAAAATTTTATCATCTAAATGTTTGTTATTATTAAGAGGAAAGATCAAAGTATTTTTGGGGTATTTTTTTCCATTTTTTAATCGTTCCTAGCACGTCCGAAATTTTCGTTAAAAATCTTGTTTTTTTTTTTTTTGAGTCAGCAAAATTGACCATTTTTTTCCATTTTATAAAAAAACTGAAAATCTCACTTTGAAATTCTTTTAAATATCAATTATCATTTTTTCAAAACTTATTTTAAGAAAATCAGAAATTATAATGTTTATTTAAAATATTTTGAACCAAACTTAACTTAGCTTTTTGTGCCAAAAAAAGATGTAATTTGAAAAAATAAAACAAAGCAGGTCATAAACTTTTCGCGTCTCTTGACAGGTGATGAATGATATTGATTAATTCCATGAGGCTAATTTGTTTACGGAAGGAGAAAAGTGAAATAATTTACATTTAAGTGAACAAATTATTTACCTCGTTATTTTTAAAGGAAAACTTTCAGCGGTTTTTAATTTTTTTTTTTTTTTTTTTTTTTTTTTTTACGTTTATGATGCTTTATGGAAAATATATTATAAAGAAATTAAAATAAGACTGTTAAGAGTGACATTAAATTTCATATTTAAGAAAGGTATCTAATTAATTTATAGGTATCTTTCTTATGAAATTTTATCAGAACTGTACATAAAATACTATAATTTTATGTACATTTATTACATTTTACTGTGTTATTTGTATTTCCATTCATTTTATTATTAATTTTGATATTTCATTTATGGAAAAATGTCATAACTGAGATTAATATAAAAAATAAGATCATATAAATTTCATAAGATGATACTGATACTTGTAGGTACCCTTCTCAGTTGAAATTGAAAAATCAAATTAACTTCTCCACACGTGTTTTCGCAAAAGTAAAAGGCCTTAACAGCGGAGAACAATGCTTAACTCAAATAACACAACTTAATTGTATTCTGGTTGGTCTTCCGTACTTTATAATTACAGCCCGATTATAAGCACAAAATTACATTTCTTAATTACTGCGGATCTTCTGATTAGTCAAAATGATACAATTTACAACGCTAAAAAAAAGATCTATCTCATAAGGACACTTAGGAAAGTTGATGTGGCTTTTTTAACTAATTTTATAATATTTTAACAACTTAAATGTAAAAATCTATTATAATTAAAGAAATAACAAATAATTGTATTAAAAATTCATTTTTTCATGGAAAAAATTTTTTTGCTTTCAGAAAATATTGTCCATATTCATAAAAACAACTAAAAGCAAATAAAAGCATTTGAAATTAAATAATATATTTGTTTTATTGAGTTTTGTATGTTACAATTCAGAGCTGATTTTCAGGTAGTGGGGGTCCAATTAAAAAAAAAAAAAAACATGATTTGCATTCCTCAAAGCCCTGTGCTTTTAATTATTGTAATCACTAAAACCGATGCGATCAAATTTCTAGCGTTTTTTCATAAAATTAGTTATGGGGGGGGATAATAAATAAATATTTAAAAAAATATTTCTGCCATGACTTTAATAAAAAAAAAACATATTTATAATAATTTCGATCATCTGTGAATAGTTCCTGAAAGTTTCATTAACATCCAACAATTATTTTTATTTTTGCAAGATTTTTCAAATTAATGTGTGTCATAAAAAAAAAACGTGCTAAAAATTGTCTATGTTATTTACTAGTTTCGGTGATACAAAGAGAATTTTTTTTTTTTTTAATCAAAATTTAGAATGTTCTAAAAAGAAGGAAAACTTTTTAAGAATAATTAAAAAAAACTTTGGTCTTTCCTCTTAATAATAACATAAGTATTTAGACAAAATTTTGTTTTTGGCAAGGTATGCTCTTTTTTTTTTTTTTTTTTTCGATGGAGGTACCTACCCTCACATTGACAGCTTAACTTATATTGGTTTTCAAGTAAATATGATTAAAGATGATGGAAATGCTTTTAAAATCTATTTTTTGTAATGCATAGCAACTTTCCTACAACATGACTGCTGGTGTCTCCTCAACAGAATGGAGCCCTACCTTAATTCAACCTGACATTAACCTTAACGTTTATGCTCTAAACTAAAGGTATAAATATTAAAAAGGCTATATGCAGAAGTGAAATTTTATAGCATGAAACATGTAAAATATTTTAATTTATAGATGACACTCCTCCAATTTTAAGCACAACTTCAATTTATGGGCGTTAATGTATATTGAAATTAGTTTTCAATTTTGTCACTGTTGTTAAAACTGGATACATAAGATATGCTTCAGGAAATTCACATTTCTCATGACTCATTCAGATCATCAAATAGCTGAAAGTCAAGATATAAATGATAATAAAAATGCAGCTTTTGTAGTAAGGTATTCATACATATATTCACTGTATTGTTACTCAGTGGAATTAGTAATTTATCACAGAAATATTGTCTTGTTAGAAGCTGCTTTAAAATTTCCATTATCAATAGTAAAAAAACAGGCACACACAAAAAACCAGATTCTTTTTTTTTTTTTTATTTTTAAAAAAATAAAATAAAATAAATCATACTTATTCATTTTATTTCTATTTGTTTATAATCAGTGTATCAGTAGATTTTCTCCAGGTGAGTAATAGGGTTCATTTTGAAGCAAACTTGCCTCTCTTTTTTATTCATTTCCTTGGAATGAGTGTTTATTATAATTATACAAAAAAAAAAATGAAAATTCTGTATTATATTGTAGATCTGGATAGACATGTTGACCCAATTTATTTTTTTTTAATTGGATCCTGAAGAACAAAATTTGGAAACATGCATGCATCTGCTTTTACAATATGTAAAATATTGTCAATTATTAATTCTTTTTCATTTAGTATTTGTCTTAATTTCTGTTATCCACTTACAACTCTCAGATAATCACTTCACAACAACCCGATTTCTATTGTTTACTAACCATCTTGGAGTTGTGTTTCATCTAAATTTCTAATGTTCTATTATAACTCAAAGAAAAAAAAATTAATTTATAGGTTATCAATGTTTGAATGACACAGAAATAAAAGAGGTTTCTTCACTACAGAGTTGTACAAAATTTTTATTGAGATAAACAGGAACATAGTTTCCAAGGTCAAATTTATGGATTTCTGGCAGTTCCCTTAGGGTGATTGTCAACTGCTGCTGTACAAAAGGGTCTTGTGAAATTTTACCAGCTTGTACATGTTTGCAAAATTGTGGTGATACTGCATCTAAAATTTGATAAAAGCAGACAAATGTTAAAAGAAAACATTAATAAAATATAAAAGTATTAAATTACATTATGATTATTTTCAATATTCATAGTACTTACATTATCAAACCATCGGGAGACATGAATGTATTTTTCTTTGTCACAGAAAGTAAGTTCATTCTAATGAGAAAAAAAAAAAAATAAATAAAAAAGAAGCATTTTGAAAGCACTAAAATTTATAAAGCATTCATGCTGGCATAAATATGGTTTGAACCAAGGTAAACTTGTAAAGTATATTGATAAAACTGAATGTCAAAACATCTCTACTGCAGAGCATAATGATAAAAAATTAAACTTTAATGGTTGAAGTGTGCATTGATAAAATGAAAGAAAAATAATAAACAAAGATTAGTCAAAATTAAATCAGAAGTATTTAAAGAGAATTTATTTTTACAAATGAAACTTCTTTGAGTTCTGGGTCATTTAGATCAAAGACTTCAAAAGAACTCTGTGGTTAGTTGACCTGACAGTTTAAAGGTGCCATGGGGGGGATCTTCATCTTAATTTTGTACCAACCAATGAAAACTAAGTGAGTTGGCTAACGAAGTCAGTTGTTGTAAAAACCTTAAGAGTGGTTTGTTTACTATCGTTCACTGACTGAACATATAAGTGTATGCTAAAAGAAACCAGCACTCCTGACTGGAGTTACCCTGAAGTTTGTTTTTACTTCTTGACAATAAGCCTTTCATTTTTTTTTCCGTTTTTAAAATCAAAATTAAAAGAATGTGCATGTATATATATATATATAAAAAAAAAGTTAGAATAATTTAATCATTAATTCTAGTCTTAAAAAAAAAATATTGAGGTTTCTTTAAAAAATACTTACAAATGTTTCATGCAATGTAAAGTAGAGAAGCATGTCAGCCAGACTAACAAAATGGCCCAATAAGTATACTCTGTCAGCCAGAAATTGATTCAACTCCTTTAAAAGAAAAAAGTAGTAATTACAAAGAAAACTTTTTTTCAAAATTAAGTTAGAACTGACCACAAAAATACACAATTGGAAGCATAGTTGCCAAAGAAATCAAGTTATTCTCTTCTACAATTTTTTTCCAAAGTATTAAAATAAATATTCAATAGATAATTGCCAAGCTACTTAGTTTCCTTGTACTGTCATAAACATGATGGTAGGATTTATTATCTATACATATAACTCATCACATGCAAGAAAGTATTCTGCTTTGTAAAATTATTAAAAGGAAAAATATAAATAAAAATGAATGTGATCTCTTAAGTCCTGTTATAGTAATAGAAGGTATGTTTGGTTATTGGCATCAAATAATGGCTTTCTCTTCATCTTATTTATAATCAGAGAAGTAGTTGTATAATATTAGAGTAGCACTTTCAATAGCAAAGCTCTGAGTATAACCATATCTCATTCAGTGAGGATGAAGGAAAATAACAATTTATCTCCACAACATTAAAATATCCTAATTCCAAACATAGCAAAGGTGCATACCCATCTTTTTTGAAGCAACATGCCTAAATAGAACAAGTGTAGCATCTGGTAACATATGAAAGCTGATAAAATACAATTGTTATTAGGAGAGATGATATATTATTGGTGGACATTACCTTGCATATTCCATATGTTTTTAAGGTTGTCAAGAAGTGTAAGAGAAAAAAAAAATAATATACTATTTATTATAAAACTTGCACTGGGGACAAAAAAATTTAAAATAATACTGCAACAGAAGTTCAAAAGATATTTTTCAGAAACTGAGTAAGGTTTTTAAGGGATCGAAAAATAGCATTAGAAACAAAAAGAAAATTGACTGCTTTATCAGCTAAATGTTGAGTGTTTTGTGAAGAAAAATAAGAATTAAATTAAAAATCTTGACAGTTGTTTTTTAATTTAAAAGAAAGCTTGAGAATTTATGGATGTCAAGTATATGGCATATACTCAGAAATATATATATATTTATGTGTGTCAGGCTTTCTTTTTTTTTTGCGGGGGGTATTTATCACAGCATACTGGAACAGTCATTTGTTATTAACCCTAGAACACTAACAATGGGTATATAGTACCCAGTGCAAATTTTCCTATTTTTAATTACAATTTTCAGTACCTGATTTTCTTACCTAAATAATGTGTTTTTCAGTTCCTATTAATGTTAACTCAAAGTACAAAGTTTGAAGTGCCTGCATGTAAAATATTTCAAATAAAGATTTATATTTAATATTTTTTTTTATTTTCAAAATCGGTATGATATACCCATGGTTAGTGTTCTAGGGTTAAGATAGTACTCCAGGACATAACATGTAATGAATGCTGAAAAATATATCAGTCAAAATCAACAGGCAAAAATTACAATAAATATAATGACAAATAAAAACCTCTGAAGTCTTTTCTTACCTGAAGGTTAGAGGCTGTCTCAGAATTATCCTGTAGGTGCAAACTTACATATTCTAACCATTGATCAACCAATGCTTTTTCAGTTGGTGTCTTGCCTGTTAGAAAAGCCAATACATTTAAGTAGTACATAACACTAATACAATGATTTTAATTTAAAATAAAAAGGAGGAGTTAGGAAATATAAGTAATTACTATTGAAATTTAAACTAGCATCATTTTCAGAGATAGTTTAGTACTTGAGATTTGGCAGCTTAATATAGACAGCAATAAAACTAGAAAAACTCATCCTTATATGAGAAAGAATCTTTTGGTGATAAATCAAGTTCAGTAAAACCATATTATTTTGAAAGAGACCCCCATCATTTTTTACTCTTAAAAATAATAAAAAGTATTGATACCACAATTACTTCACAAGGTCTCTTACTCCAGGAGCACATGAATTGTTATATTTCAAAGGAAGCTGTATTGTTGATCAAGCTGAAGGTGGAATGACCCAGTGTCAAATAGCATCAAATTTAGTAATTGCAGTTTATAATTCAAGGAAAGGAAACCACTTCATTTTGTCAAGAAAATATCTTAGTAAAAGAAAAATGTGGCTGACCATCCAAATCAGCCTAATATTAAAAGGATAGTTTCTTTTTCACATTGGTCAATGTGGCAGACAAACCAGAATCAACAGTCAGGGTAGAGAAACGTCAACATTTTCAAACAAGTAGGTAGGTCAATATAAGTGTGGAGAGTAATTAGTTAAGAACTATCTTTTGTGGAAAAGGAATCTGTCTATATTTCTGAGATGAGGTATTATGTACACTATTTACATTATTCGGACTATTGTCCTCATCTTTGTTGCCATATTTATTACAACGTTTAAGCCGTTGTACGCTCCGGCCTTTATAGGTGGTTGGAATGTTGAACTGAACCCTTTATTTCACTCACTGTGGTAGACTGTTCTAATTCCATGTTTAATGGATGTCAGTTATCTCCTGTTAATTTCCCTCTGGAAGTTCTCCACTGCCTTAACCGGGTATTGAACTCACACTCTTTGGGTCCTGTCACTGGATCTAACCAACTGATAACTGACATCCATTAAACATGGCACTACCCCAGCAAGCGAAATAAAGGGTCCCGTTTGACATTCCAACCACCTGAAGAAGACTGGAGTGAAATATTGTAATAAATATGGCGGCAACAAAGATGAGGACAATAGTCTGAATAATGTAAATAGTGTGAAAAAGGAATTGCCCCAACATTTACTGATGGCTATTTAAATAAAAACAGTTTCCCGTTTCATGTCATACAACACAGACATCTCAGGAATGACAGGTTCTCATGGCAAAGTCTGTCTTCTAATATGGATCCTATTGAAAAAAAAAAAAATCCTGGTTGATTAGAAATGTTCAGAAAACCTATAAAAGATTTGTGTTTTAGAATGAACATCTGACAAGAGAAGCTAAAAAAAAAAAAAAAAAAGATAAATTTGAGGCCTGAAGGAGAATGGAAAATTTAAGTTTACATAAGTGAATTGTTTTAATCATTAAATAAAACCTTATTTGAAAATGGATATTTCATTATTTTTGTCATGCCTCTAGATAGTTGTAGAATTAAGTCTTAAAGATTTTCTAATAAAAATAATATCAGCAGGTGTCTGTCATGTAAGTTGAGAAATATTTGGAATGCAGCTGCTGGGTGAATTATACACTTGGTTTTTATTACATTTTGGAAAAGATTAATAAATATGAAGATATTTATCTGAACAACATAGATTAATGGTAATATAAAAATATTTTTCACTCTTAAATGATAACTTGGTACTGTGGATCATATTGGTAAAATATCATTAGATATTCGATTATGTCAGTGAAAGGCAATAATTTTTCTCATCTACAAATTATCTTTAATCACAATCCCATTTACTGTCAGAATATGAAGATCCAGAATAAAAGTTTCAAAGTCAAGAGGAGTTGGGTTTCATTTTCAATCCATACAACAAATGATTTTGAATAACCGATATTAACAAAAATATAGTACATAATGAGAACAATGCCTAAGACAAAGTCAAAAATGAAATTTCTAAACAAGTTTAAACTCTCAATCAATGAAGAGGCCTGGACATAATATACAATGTCTTACTGAAAAAGTAGTGGTTAATAGAATTCCTATATTTGACTGCAATTAACAGTTAACCTAATTTCAAACTGAAATACTTCAACAAATCAATATTCCACTTCTGTGCCTGAGTATAGTTTTTTTTTCATGGTAGGCATGTAAAAGTGATTCTGTCTTCTATATCAAACTCAAAATAAGAAAGTTAAAGCAATGTAAACGAGAAATTTAATCTCAGAAATAGAAAGTTTTTTTTGTTTTTAAAATCATTTCATCCCAAGCAGGGCAATAAAGTTACACAAGGAGCAACTGATTGTAAAAGAATACAAGAAAAAGAAACATTAAGGAGAAAGAATAGGAATCTTGAAAAATTTTAATGCAAAGTGGAATGGAAAACAAAAAACCAAGAGTTCCACAAGCGAGAATTGAAAAAAAAGAAACTTATGGTTGCATCTAGCAAATTCAACTGTAAAATAATGAGACCTAACTGCCAGTCTAGTACTGCACATAAATTTGTAAAGTCAAGGTACCAAAGAGAAAAGCTCATCAAAACAATTACCATAAATATATTTACTGAAAAAGTACAGAGAAGTTATGTTATAGTGGCGGGGAAAGTGACTGAAGCCAAGATGCCAAGTCAGATGTTATATCATTAAAGATTCTTCTTTGGATTTTATCAAGAATCTCTAAATATATAGTAGAAGCACCCAACCAGATGTAACAGCAATATTCGATGAATGGTAATCAATAAATGTGTAAGATAGATTCTGGCAAGAAAAATTATCTAGCATGACACAGTGAACATAAAATGGTAAACATTGTTGCATAATTTACATTACATAAACAAACATAACTATCAAAACTAAATCAAATCATTTTCTTTTAAAAACTTGTTCAGGGGGATTCAGTTTTTTTTTTCTTCTTCTATACAAAGAAGCAATCAAAGAACACTTTGCCATGTTGGATAGAGTGCATTACAAAGAAATAAGAGTCAAATCAACACAAATTTATGTGATTCTGAGCATAAGTGAAATTTTACAATAACTTATTTGGAACTGTGAAATTTTATTAGACAACTTAAATTTTTATACACACAAACACACATTTATATTATATTTTATTTAGTTACCTCTACTTTTTTTCTAAGATATTATTTAATTAGAAAAGCTTTTATAAATAAGATATATTAAGGACACTTGTTTTAAGAGAATTTTTTAAAAGTTTTAAATCTTAAAATTTTGTATTAATTTCAGGGGTTTAGATAATATTGTTATTAAGTGAATACTATATTTACTAATCATAAATGGAAACACTTTATACAAATTATCAAACAGCAATATTTTTAAAAGAATTTTCAATTTTTTTGTGCGTGTAGAAACATCGAGCAATGATTATGTGACACTATTTAACGCTGAAAAACATGAGTTAGAAGATATGAAGGATAGACTGATTAAAGATTTTATTTTTAAAAAGAAATTCAGATTCTTAGAATGAGAATTGCGGAAAGGATAATGTTTTGATAAAACTGTGACAAGCGTGAGAGTAATTAATTACAAAAGGCGCTGGAGATAATTGAGATAAGGTGACTCAGCTAGGAGAATGGTCAGAGGACCTGGAGCCGAGAACAATAGAGTTAAGTTTTTAAAACAAGAAAGTGCATAAACTAATTTTACAAATAGGCAATCTTGACAATTGATGAATGATGGTCATTAAAATAGAAAGCAAATGAGCAAGAAATAGGAGTGGAGAATATTCTCAAATATGATGAGATTGTAAAATGCCAATTTAGCATTGATGTATAACAGGTGTTATAGAAGTGTTGATTCAGGATATGGAATAGCTACGATCAACACAGATATGATCTGTCAACCAGAAATGGAAAACAGATTATTCATAAACAGGCAAAGAATTTAGGGAATGGCCAATCACGAAGGGCTATGTGTTAAATACTAGAATTTTGACAAGGTGAGAAAAAGACTTCCAAATGATAATTTTAATTCTGACAAGCCAGAAAACCCTACATAAGCAAAACATTGAGGAGATAATTTACTTTATAATTTAATTTATCAATTAGAAGACCTTGAGTCACGCCAAGATGGCTGAGAGGTAGTCATAGTTGCAGGCGCAACTAAGACAACAGGAATGGTGGAGAATTTGTTAATGCCCTTTGAAAGGTGTAGTGTAAGATGCTGATAGATGAGAGAAGGAGTATGGGTGGATCAATATCCTGTGACCATACCACACAAAAGAGGAGGTCATATCAAAAACTGCAAGCGTAAGAAATTTTAAACAATGGACCTTTGTCGGATTTAGGGGAATCACCAAGACCCCAGCCTACGTCTTGCCCCACACTGGTGTGGAGCAAGGGCCCATATAAGCAAACTCACAAGGTCAAGAAAACAAGTTTTGTCTAGAGTTCACTTTGGAGTTTGTCTCACAGATTGTTCCAGAATTTGTATTGAAGACCAACCAGATCACTGAGATTGCCTCCGTGATTCCTGCCAAGTATAAGAACTCCAACTTTGAAGAAAAACTACACTAAGACCAAGAAGTAATCTTCACCCTTGTACCAACAAAGTTAATCTGAAAAGCACCTCAAAGTTAACACCATAAAACAGAACAAGTTAACATTGAAAAGCAGAACTCAGATAACACAGAAAAGCAGAATTACACTAACACCAAAACAGAAGAAACTTCATATTGAAAATAGAATTTCATAATCCAGCTCTGAGAACTTGCTCAAATTCATTTAAGACAGGTCGGGGCATTAATTGTTGTAAACCAAAGAACCAATATAAAAAGTGAACTTTGTTATTTATTATGTGTGTGTCATATTTTGTTTTATTTTTCATTTTTATTGATGTGCACCTTCACCCTAGTGGATTGACTTTTGGTATCAAAGATTCTGACAGGAACTGGACCTGACCATCCTATGATCTTCAAAATACACAATGTGGGATAGGACAAAGGTTGGCATCATACATCCTAGATGAACCTGAGGGCTTGGGCACTACATATTTGGATCCAACCAAAGACCTTAGAACCCAGAAGGTGGTATGTTATTGGTCCTGTGACCGAAGGTGGCCGGAAGTACCACATTATTGGTGACATGACAAGCGCTTGTGTCATTTTCTTAAATTGTTTTACAGAAGTCTCCATAGGCTGTCACATGTCAAATCAGGTACTGTTAGGTTACAAAATATAGCTACTGTTGAATTAAAAAAAAAAAAAAATGCATTTGTGATATTTTAAATTTAAAGTAAATAATATTTGCTTCAAATAAGATTAATTATACTTTAAATCAGTTAATAACCCTCAAATAAAGTTTCAGAAAAATATATTTTATTTTTTGCAAGATTTTTAAAACCAAGAACTAACTTATGTTTACAAATGCTTCAAAAATAGATGACTTTGTCAATATCACTGAAAAATTTCTGTTTGAAATATAGCAGAGTATTTTGCTTACTGGAAATAGTAAATTTAATCATTTAGCCTTCAATTAAAAATGAAAGATTAATTTAAACCTTGAGTATCACGGTTTTTGTGGAGGTACTTAACTTTATTTTAATTAAAATAAGCCTAAATTATTACTATGGTTCACAGATAGATTATATTAAGATCCAGCAACCATTCTTTTTGCTTACAGAGAGAAGGTTGCTTGGATTTAATATACAGGGCCTTGAGCACTCTCAAATGGTAGTTTGAATGTGCCGTGCTGATGGCCGAGGTACAAAAAAAAAAAATATCAGTTTAAAGATGAGGCACAAATCAGATTAATTATGAGGTATTTCCACAATAGCAGAACCAGAAGTATTGACAAAGCATATATAAATTTTCATACAGCCTTCTACGGATCATTCTTTTTTTTTTTTTTTTTTTTTACACTGTTAATTCACTCAGTATAAAGTCCAAAGGCCACTCAAGGTAAGGTTACTGATTGAGAGGGGCAAATTCTGTGAACTCAATGGAGACAACCTTCAGAGGTTATCTTCATTGTGTTCACAGAATTAGAGAGGTAGGCAAATGACTCAAATACAAAGAATCAGCATACATTGCAATAGCTTTCCTTAGCAGAACACGCATAAAAAGACTACTGATAATGAAAGGATAATGGAATATCAAGATCTATTTTAACTATAGTGGGTTCTGTACTGCACAGATTAGTCAAATGGTTGGCTAACTTTTACAGCCACAACTTGAAATTTATCTAGTCCAATGCATAATGGATTTCTTTTACTTTTGCAAGCTTTATACAAAAATGGAGCTTTTCTTCATTGAGTTTATGGAATTTGGCAAATAGATAGAATTTCTACAGGTAATCCTTTGGGGTCTGCAATGACCAACATTTTGTCTGATTTCACAAGGAAGATTTGCTTTCTCATATATTGAGAATCCTCAGCATTACTTTTGATATGCAAATGAAACTTTTTGCATATTTGATAGTAAAGAGTGATACAGGGTTTTTCATGGATTTGTAAATAAAGTACACCCACCCATAAAAATTACATATGAAAGGGAAAACAATGTAATTTTGCCTTTTCTGAATGTATTGGTGCATGAGTCAGAATCTTCTTATTTTTATTTCTATGTAGGTAAGCAAAGTCTTAAGAAACAGGAATATTTCATTAGAGACAAAGAGTACTGCACTATTGTATAATATCAGTCCTCCTATATGGCAATGAATGATAGACAATCTCCTCCTAGATGAAGAAGAAACTTGAGGCAACAGAAATGTGGTTCTACAGAAGGATACTGAGAATACCATGGACTGGATATATGACCTATGATGAAGTTTTAATGAAAATAGAATCCAAAAAGGCACTTATACTTAGAATCAAAGAGTCAATTCAAATTTCTAGAGTACATAATGAGGAAAGAGGGTTTGGAGAATTTGGCACTCATAGGACACATTGAACAAAAAAGGGACAGAAGAAAGCAGTAAATAACCTACCTAACAAGCTTATATAAATGGTTGACAGGATGAGGCTTAGGAGAGATGCAAAAAGAAAACTTACTAAGAGGTACAAAAGACAGGAAATTGTGGAGAGCCATGATCACCCATGTCCTGCAGGAACATATCACATAGAGAAGAATATGATATACTGTAAACCTACTTTTATTGGATTGTACATTTGTTGGAACTCTTTGTCCTAAACAGAAAAACAGAATTTAATCAAGACTTTGGTTCATCATGCCCTAATTATTTATTCTAATTCTGAAATTGAATTTATTACAAAAAGGTTTTAGTTGAAAATAGCTACCCTCTGGATATTGTACAATCTAGTATTCATACTAAAATTGCATAATTTAATAAACCCAAATTGTATGGTTTGGAATAATGTCCAGTCTGTTTGTGGTTACCTTGGATTGGTGAAGTTTGCACAGGTTTTGCTAGACAAATTTCTAAAAGTGTACAGCTGTATTATTTTTCTGGTAATCTATGACTAATTTTCACTTTCCATTTTATGTTAAAATTCATTTGTAAAGATTAGTTCAGTGATATATAATTTTAAATGTCAGTGCAATGTTGAATTCATGTGCAGAACTAAAATAGGTTGGAGTTGAGAATCAATCAACACATGCTAACTAAGATCCATAGAAAGCAGTATGAACATTTACATCTGCTTTGTCAATACTTCTGACTCTGTAATTGTGGAACACCTAATAATAATTAACTTAATTTATGCTTTGTCTTTTAACAGCAGCATGATCCAGTCAGACTACCATTTGAGAGTGGTTGAGACCCAGTATATTAAATCCAAGCAACCAAATGTCTCAAGCAAGGAATGGTTGCTGGATCTTAACATAATATATCTGTAAGTCATAGTACTAATTTAGGTTTATTTTACTTGAAATTATATATAACTCCAAGTTGTATAATAAAATATTGCACTCTTGAATAAATTAGTTATTGTAAATATTTATAAGTGAGAATTAATAATTTTTTTTTTTAAATAAAGCGAAAACAAAATTTTAATTTTTAAATGAATTATTTCAATTGGCATAATTTCCCAGGTTCAAATAAATTTCACATTAAGCATCACTTACCCAAGAGAGCATGCTGTTTTGATGTTCTTGTTATGTGCTTGGCTATTGAAATGTAACCTTGAACATTCAAGCCATTCTCTTTTAAAATAGGAACCTGAAAAAAGAAAAGGTTTCATGTCAATAAGAAAAATCCAAAAACAAAAGCTACTGCAAAAGTATTTTTTTTTCCATCTTTTGTATCCCATGAATTAAAACCTAAACAGTTACTTTTAATCTTAATGGTATTTTTTTTTTTTACCCAAGAAAATATCTGTTTACATTAATTGTTAATTTCTGCAAATAATCCCAGTTGTTTGTTACATAATTCAGGTGAAATATTTTTTGCAACGGCACACACACACACACATAAAAAGAAAATAATTGTTTTAAGAACACATTGGAATTAAAAAATTAGTCGTTATTGAAATTTTCATGAAATCATTAAAAAATACATGTAAATATTGTATTGAAAGGGTTAAACAATATGATTTAAATATAAAGTTGACTTAAAAATTAAATTGTGTAAAATATGTATACACTTGGTTTCATCTTTTTTTTTTTTTTTTTAAATCTTTTACTTCCAAGAAAGATGCTAGTTAATAATGTAAAACAGACATGTACTAGCAGAGTATCTATAAAAAATACACCACTGCCTATCTTTTCATTTGCACATGACAAAAGAATTTGGAAAAGAAATGAAGAGAAGAAAGAAAAAGCATGAAGAGGGAAAGTTAGAAGTAAGAAACCTAAAGAAAAGTAAATAGATAAACAGGTGGAAGGAAAAGTGATGGAGACACAAGAAAGATAGATTTGTAATCTTGAGTTTTATTTCTCTTTTAATATTTTAATGTGGATGAAGCCTTGTTTTCCTTTTTCTATAGAAGCTTCACGCTACCTTACATAGGTAGATACCAAGTAATAATATCAAATATATTTCACTATATATGTTTTGAAAGTCATATAAAAATTTTTCGTGTTACTTCATCAAATACTCAGAGGTACTTAATAAGAGTTGGGGAATGTTTATTCATTTTTGAAGAAATTTTCCAATTCCCCTCTGAGTGTTTTATGATCATTATTAACTTTACACTTTTTCAACCCCCACTTTATTACCTCCGTTTATTGCATATTGAGAAAAATCCCACTCCCCTACCAATTATTAAGAACCACCCCCTTGTATTAGGCATTTAAGAGTATTGATTGTTGACAAGTAGGTCTTAAAATTGAAGGGCAAGTCTGTTGAAACCTAAAGTTGTGTTATATATTAACTTTGGTTGAAGGATTTGAGATAAAGAAACCTCATCTTTAGTTTGATCTCTCATTCTTTGTCCAACCAATATTTAAATAAAACAAGGGCTCCAAACAAGAGCAACAGAATTTGGGATTGTATTCTTTCTACATCCTTTCACTAGAAGAAGCACCCAAAAAGTACACAACTACTCCAATAAATACATTTCACGTGTTATTTGAAGTTGGCCATTATCCCCATAACCTAAAGATGGTGAAATTTTTGTTGGAACAACAATCCGGGTTCACCAAGTACCCATACTTTCTGTGCATGTGGGATAGTAAGGACAGCATTACACAAAAAAGGACTGGCCTGTTCAGGAGGAATTGATGCCTTGCAGAGCAACGAAGGTCATCAATAAGCCTCTCATGGACAGAGACAGGATACTTTTTCCACTGCTGCACATCAAGCTCAGCTTGATCAAGCATTTCACCAAAGCTCTGGACAAGGATGGTGGCTGCTTCACTTACTTGTGTCAGTCTCTTCCAAGATTGATGATGGAGAAGTTGAAAGCTGGCATCTTTGATGGTCTTCAGATCCATTAGTGCATCAGAGATTCAGTGTTTGAAAACTCAATATATGAAGTGAAACTGGAACCATGGAAAGCTTTTGTTCTGATCATGAAGAACTTTCTTGGCAACAACAAGGTCAGGAACTATGCAGAACTTTTCCTGGATGTGCTGACTGCTTTCTGTAAGCTTGGATGCAACATGATCATCAAAATGCATTATTTATTCTCACACATGGATTGGTTTCCTGAGAGTCTGGGATCAACGAGCAATGAACAGGGGGAGGGATTCCTTCATGATATGAACAAGATGGAGACCACGTATCAAGGATGCTGAGTCATGATGGCTGATTACTGCTGGACTTTGGAGAGAGACACCCCTGCCACTGATCATTCTAAGCATTCAAATAAACAGAATTTCAATTTATAATGAAGCCCAAAAAGTTTATTAAAGAATATGAATTTTTGGCAACTATCACAAATACACATAGCACAAAAAAAAAAGTAAAAAGAAACATCATATGGTTTAACCCACCATACAACAAAAATGTAAAAATGAATGTAAGAAAAATATTCATTAAACTCTCCACAATTCCTTCCATCAAACACTAACCACAAAATATTCAACAGAAACATAAGCCACAAATCACCCATACCAACCAATCCCACCTATAGCTGCAAAGCATGAATGCTCCTTAAATGGCAAGTGCTTGCAAAGCAATGTAATATACCAAACCACTATAAAACAGTAGATAATGAAGAAATATACATAAGAGTAACTCAAAGAGCCTGAAAATAGTGAAACTACACATAAAAATCTTTTAACAACAGTAAATGCTTCTTCTCCCCCAGCTATGGGTAAATAGCAGGACAGTCCAGTTCTATAGCCTTGAATGGCAACTGGTCTACTATAGAAAGAAACAGCAACCTATTGTAAGAAAAATCTGCCTCGTTAGTCACATATTGAAAGATACATGATCGCCTAAGCATGTATCATGTATGGCACATAACTGAAATATACATTTTTTTTTTTAAAGCATTTCACCCCTAGCAAGGCGGGAAGCCACTAGCATGCAATGGGTTACAGAGGATTTGGAGCGAGAGCAGATAGGAATGATAGAGGAAAGGATGAGGAGAAGGATAGTGGATAGATCAAGGCAACTGGAGATGTCGATTGACATTACATTTGAATAATTGGAGATTAAAGCTATCAGGGAAACAAGAGTAGGGAAGGGAGTTCCACAGGCAAGAGGTGCGAGACATGAAGCTATTGGAGTAGAAGAGGCGGCTACATTTAACAGTTTCAACAGTGAAAGGGTGAGAGCAGAATGCCAGCCTCGTAGGACACTTGAAGTTGCGATGTCTTCGAACCAGCAAAAGCAACTCATCAGAGCAATTACCAAGAAAGTATTTGTAAAAAAGACAGAGAGAGGCGACGGCACATCTGTGAGAGAGTGACTGCAGACAAGGTGCCAGATCAGGGCCAATTATATTGCATATCTGTCTCTGGATCTTATCAAGAACCATGCGGCAAACAGAAGGGGCTCCAGACCATATATGGCAGCAATACTCCATGCAAGGGCGAATGGTTGATTTGTAGAAATTTCCTGGTGCGGCACAGGGAGCCAACTTTCCTTGCGGTGGACAAAGCAATTGACTCAACATATTTGTTCCATCTCAGGACAGTAGACAACGTCAGGCCGAGCAGCCACAGAGAGGTGCTCTCGGGAAGTTGAGCCTCAGACATTCTAATGGGGGGCAGGGAATGATCTCTCTGGTGATTAATAGAGAGCAGTTTTGTTTTGGTGGCATTAAAGCTAACCAGCCAATTACGGCCTCAGTTCACAACTGATTGAAGGTGCTTTTCGAGACGAATGGCTAGGTTAGTTTTGTCAACGGCACTAGATATTGTTTTTGAGGCAGGAGTAAAGTGTAGTGTCGTTCGCGTAGATGCCCACCTGGGAAGAACGACCTTCAATTCACGGTTTGACAAATGATTGTATTAAGTCAAACAATCAACCTGTAAAACCATAACCCTGGAGCTTGCGAAGAAGGCCGGCATGCCAAACCTTATCAAACACTTTGGAGATGTCTAGGGCCACAGCACAAGCTTCTCCGTTATTCTGAAGAACTTGGTAGATAATTTCAGTGATGGCTGTAAGTACATCAGCTGTAGATTGGGCAAAGTGGAAACTATATTGCTTGTCTGAGAGCTGATCATGGGATGTAAGGTGGTTAACCACTTCGGCATTGATTAAAGCTTCGAAGACTTTGCTGAAGAGGGGTAGGAGACTGATAGGACGGTAATTAGAAGGGCCAGAGGCATGTACCACAACACTAAATATATATGAGAACTTAAAAATAAGATTATGGAAACTAAGAAAAACACAAATTACTAAATAAAAGATCAGAACTTATCTGAAAATGCAGGCATGAAAACGAATTTTTACTACATTACTTAAAAATTAAGACTGATATCTTGTAAAACATTCACTAAAATGCAAATATATATATATCAGATACAACATAGATAACATAATATATTTAACAAAATACATGTAAACAAATTCAATACCCAACAAAAACAAATAGAGAAACTGCATGCCCACAATCACATAAATTTAATAATAATAATCAGTAACAAATTAATGAACACAAAATACATTGACATAATATATAAAATTGATTTAAAAGCTAACAACCCTATACATTAGCTATAAAATAACCATCTTTCCAGAATATATTTCGCTCTAATGAATGGCTGTTAGAACAATGTAAAATAACTCTGCCAGCCTATTCAATAGCTATGAGAATTACACAATAAACCTGAAATAACTAACCTGGCTACTCATAATGCCCTCATGACTAGCATATTTTACTGCCCAATCCACATGGGCCAAAGATTGCATTCAAGCATAAAACAGACTTTTGTCATTCGGTGTTGAACTGTATCCAAACTGCTTATATAGGAATCAATACACAGGGAAATATACAGTGTGGACTTAGGAATCAACACAAAAGAATTCTCAATGAAGAAAAAAAAAAGTATAAAACAGCATTAGAAAATTTTTCAGCAAAACCTACATTTAAACCTAACAGAACAAAAAATCCAACAGAAATAAATGAGTCAAAAATTGAATAAAAAATGTAAAAAGAAATATACCTAAAATTCATCACACAGCTCAAATACTTTCTAAAGTCAATCAAACTGGACAAAATATTCAGTTGAAATACTCTAAGACATAGCTAGAGTTGCACTAAAAACATGCAAATAGAAAAATCACAAACACCCACAACAAAAAGTACAAATGGTGACTGCCTACAAAATAACATACTATACAAAGCTATAGTAAGATCCAAAGGAAACACAAAAAAATATATAAAGGAATAACAGAAGTCTCCCAGAAATAGACAAGCTACTCATACAAAGCATCATTTAACAACCAAAAATAGGCTAACAGTACAACCCTCTCAAAGCATATCTAGCAACTCAAAAACATAAACCAAAATACAACAAAAATAACATGGAAAATAAGAAAAACAGTACCAGCTTACAACAACTGAAAACAAGTAACCTTAGCCCAGAGGAAAAAAATAGCCATAATTAACTTTTCAGAACAAGATAAACTCTTAAATAAAAGATCAGTATTCATTTCCAAATACAGATATGAAAACAAATTCTTACTATGTTACCCACACTTACATAATGACCAAACAGACTAGAAAAAATCTCATATCCATAAATCTAATAAACTTCATTACAAATAGCAGAACTTAGAACCAAAGAAAAAAATGTACAAAACAAGTGAAATACATAAATGAATAAAAATATAAATAAAATAAACAATTATCATGACCATAAATAATCCTTAGAATTAGAAAGATTCTTTCTTTTCCCATTTTCCTTATTCCCCAATCCTATAGTGAATAGACATGTGTCTGAAAACCATCACTTGATTTTAGGCCCACATCAGTCTAACATGAAAACAAAATCAATTTGGTTGGTTGATCGATTCATTCATTTTCTATGGCTTATCAACCCTTTGCAGCTTATTTAAAACCAGAAAATATTTTTAGACTGTAAGAATTTTTTTTTTAAATAATGATTTAGGGATACAAGTCTTACTAATTAACCCATAGCTGAGGGAAGAGGTGAATTCATACTTTTCCCAAGAGTATTTGCATGTAAAGGAATATAATGAACCTGACTAGAATTGGAACTCAGCTCTCTGATTAACAATTCCAAGCTATTATCCATTACATCACCCACAAATCCAAGCTTACAGCACCAAATGTTCCCAAGCGGTTACCAATGTAGGTACTGACCATGCTTGATGTTGCTTTACTTCAGTGTTCATATACAAACTGGTGTTTCAACGTGGTGTGGCCGTAAGCCCAAAATCAATTTGGTGTAGTGGGGATTAATTTCATAATTGATGATTCAACTGAATGATGTGAATTTGGGGGTATGTTGTGTCCCTGGTTACTGGCATTGAAAAGTTAAGGGTTTCTGTAAACTATGTTTAAGTAGCAAGAAAACTGTTAAGGGATGTGATATTGAATGAACAAGTATATTTTTCTCTTTTGATGGTACCTACCATTAAACTTACTTGGTTATCAAGAACCAAAAGCAGAGTCTTCAAAATAGGAATTAATTTTTTAACAAAATATGAATGTCAAAAGCCATTATATTCACAAATGAACCATTTTAATAAGAACTACAAAACTAAAAGAAAGTCTATGCATGAACATGGACTAGCCTCTCAAGTCTAATCAATAATAAATATGTCCAGGGTGGGGGGAAGCAAAGCAGTTCTTTTGATAAAAATGCAAGCATGCATGAAAACAAATTGTGTTATCTTCAGCTCCATACTCTGTTCAATACTTGGGAGGATGACAAATATATTAATTTATATATAATAAATGGATCTGAATGTTCCAGTATCCTGTTCACATAGTCACTCTGTGGGAGATATATTTTTTAATATAAGAACTGTAGTTAGTTATATACATTTTATTTACTTCCAACCTTTCCTCAGACAAACTACCCAGGCCATAGCCATCATTTAAAGTTATTAACTCAAATGAATGTTACACACTTCTGTGAAGGGTATGGCTTAATCTGGCCAATAGAAGATGGTGACAAGTTCAGGATGAAGTCTTTTCATAGTTAATATTAAAGAGACATTTATTTTTCAACTGCAAGATATACAAAATGATACAAAATTGTTTATGAAGTGAAATTCAAACCTTGTATCTGGGTCCAGCTAATTCATGTATTGATTTCTATTAATTCTTCAAAGAACAAGTATCACCCTTGAGGTCTGTCTGTAGAAGTACCTCATTTGCTATCAGCTTTGTAGCATTGATTAAGCACAAGACTGGTGTTATTTTTTATCAGGTCTTGGGCATACTCTACTCATTTATGTACTGATTCCCTAAGAGGCCCTGACTTTTCCACTCAATTCCTGTGATCAATGGGTAAGAAGTTTCATGAAACATCTGGTGCCATTGGTATAACTGAGGGTGATAGGGATAAATTTCTGATAAGAAGTTTTTAGCAACTTTTTTACCAGTCCTTTTCATGTGTCAAAATCATCTTTCCCACTTATAACAATACAATAAAATTGGTTGTTATACCATTGGGACCTAAATTTCTTTTTCTTTTTTTATGTTTACCCTGTACAAAGCCTGGGAGCCACTCAAGGTAGAGGGTTACAGAATAAGAGACATAGTTTATACAGATATATAGGGAAGATAACGGTTAACCCTAGACTTGAACAGGTTAAAACTGTAGTGATTGAGAAAGCATCCTCTTGGGAATTGGTTCCACAGAGCATCAGTTCATGGAAAAAAGCTGTTTGAGTGAAACTTACATCTCACCAATGGAATATGAAGGGAATGAGGGTGGGGATTTGCTACAATATGCATGGCATGTCTTAGACATAAAGGTAAAAAATGATGAAACTAAAGAATGTAGTTTGAGTGCTTTCCATGGAAATAGCAATAGAGCAGTGAGAGGCTTACAATGTTTTATCTGTGAGAAAGAGGTTGTAGGGTGGAAAATAATTTGTCACCCACAGGGGCCCATAATACTGTTGAGATAGACCTGGACAGTAGTACTCCATTTTCAGAAGAATGGAAGTAGTGTTTTGGCATTGATATAAATACAAATTTGATACTTTTTGCCAAAAAGATGTCTTTACATATCAGAAAAGGTGGTGGTGGTGAGGGGGGGGCAATCTGAAATGGCCATGGGATAAGCTTTCCAACCCCAAAAGTATATATTCTTACATTAAACTATATGCATGTTTTGCCAACATTTTCTGAAATTCTGTCGAAAAAGATAAAAATCACCGAGTTTTCTCAGTGATCTGTTTTTAATTTTTACTTTTGTGTGAAAATAGTAAAAAGAATGCTCAAAAAGATTTTCTACATAAATTTGGATTATATCTGGATTTGGAATCTATTAGAACACCACTAAATTAATTTTTTTTTATGACCTAAACATTCATTTTTAAAGAGATATCATCCAATGACCAATTTCGTACAACCAAAAACCTTAATATTTTTTGAAGTTTAAAAGTTTATATAATCACATTATGAAGTTTTTGCCTAATTCTTTTTGCAAAATATCAAAAATTTTATCTACTTTTAAGAAGCACGTGTTTTTTTAAGTGCATTGTCATTTAAATTTTTGGCTATTTCCACCTCTGAGTTCAATGTGGGTAGCGAAAGTACCTGGTCTGAAAATCACCATGAAGCATAAATAATAACAGTCACAATGTAGTGTTGATTTCTATGTCGACACTATATTTATAAATGCTCTATCTCTGATATTGAGTACTTACCTTTTAAATTTTAAGTACTACCAACATAAATTCATATTTGTCCTTTTGTCTTTAGAAATAAAATTTGAAAAGGTATTTACTTAAATTTTTTGCGAATGTCTTATTGAATTTAGCCATGGCAAAGCCAGAAAAATTTTGAGCTAAACTGTTATAACTTTTACAAAACAATCTATTAAAAAAAAAAAGAATCAATAAAGTCTGTTTTTTTTATAAAACAAGATGTAACATATGTACAAAAGAATAACATCTCATGATTAATTCTGGTAACAGATTGTCTGCTCAAGGACATTAGTGAGTCTATTACAGATTGTACAAAACTGTTAAGCTTTAAATCATCTCAACCACAAACTGGTTGACCAGGCATTAATTAACTGTATAGCTGACATCAAAAGGAAAGAGACTATAGTTTTTTTGTTTGTTTTTTTTTTCAAACTAAGAAATCAACAGGCATACACTATATAATATCTTGATTTAATTTTTTTATCAATATTCGTTTATATTGCAAGGATTTTCATAACATAAATTTTCCTATAAAATTTTTTTTCGGGGGGGGGCAATATTAACAAAATTACAAAAGAAAAATGTATCAAAATAGGTGTCATTAATCCTGGAAGATATGAAAAATGTCATTTTTACAGCATCAAATATAAAATGTTCTTTAAAAGGGAATTTCTATGGTACAATGGAACAACTGTTAGTAATAATTTTTAAAAACTGTTTAAAAGTAAACAAACATTAAAAAGTCAATAATAATGTAAATATTTATTTTGTCACAATATCAGATGTTACAATAAAGCAACAGGTTGGACATTATCCTGATTTTCTCTTTAAGCAAATTGCATTAACTAGATTCCAAAAATTATAACCATAAACCTCAATGTTGTCTCAATTTTTTTTTTCATAATTCCATCCTAAATCATTAATCAAGCAAACAACCCCATTTTTTTAAATAATAATAATAAAAAGAAAGGGAGATATGCCAAAATGAAAGACCATGTTGTATACAATCATGTCTCTTTTTTATTCATGACTGACTAGGCAGAAGATTTTCTCATAGTAGGTTGCCATTTCTTTCTGTGGTAGATTGGTTGCCAACTAAGGCTATAGTACCTAGTCTGTCCTGCTATTCAACCCATAGCTGTGGGGGAGAAGAGATTAATTAATTTTTAAACATTGGAAAAGTTATTAATGCACTATTTCTACCCCTAGTTATGGGTTTTCTAACGGGTATTTGCACAGAAGTGAATATAAGAAATCCAAATTGGAACTCAGATTAACAATTCTGAACCATTATCCATTAAACCACCTGCACATCCAAACTTACGTCTTGTAAGTTTGGATTTGCAGGTGTTCCCAAACAGTCAATCATCTAGGTACTAACCAAGCTCAACATTGCTTAACTTAGGCAATCATACAGGAACCAGTGTTTTAATGTATGTTGCTGTAAGCCCCAAGATGCAAGATCGAATTAGAGATATAAGCATCAAGTAGGTGCAGAAGTTCAAGTATATGGGAAGTGTCTTAATGGAAAATGTGACACCAAGATGCGACCATGCATTGGACTAGTAAAAGAAGCATTCCAAAAGCTAAGAAAGTTGCGGAGAAGTGGAAAACAAAAATTTGTTAGAAACAAAGAAAAAAGTGCTGGGTTGCTATATGATATCCATCCTCTTATATGGCAGTGAATGTTAGATAACAGATGAGAAAAAAAGCTAAGAGGTTGCAGAAATATGGTTCTACAGAAGGATACTGAAAATCCTATGGATAGAGTGAGTAAGCAACAAGGAAGTCTTAAAGAAAATGGCAACAGAAAGAAAACTTACAGAGATAGGAGAAGAAAGAAAGCTACTTACCTGATGGGATTGTGTGAATGAATGGCAGAGTGTGAGCCTTAGCAAAGGGAGAAAAACTACTAAGAGTCACACAAGATAGGAAGTGGTGGAGAACCAGGATCACCTATGTTCTGAATTGAAGCATCACATAGAAGATGATAGTGGTTATCGACATCAGTGATTGTAATGATGCTATCACCGTGACAACTTTTTTTATGTGCATGCTCAATTACAAGGTACTCAAAGTATCATCAAAAACATTTTTTTTTCATTATTTCTAAATTTTTAAAACAAAGAATTTTATACTATCATAAACCTGTCACTTTTCAAGATATGAAGAAATGAACGTTAGATGAAGTTTAAATAAAGCAAAGGGTTTGAAGTGAATTAATAAGAAAACAACTTTTATTAATGATTAATTTTTTTCCAGTATGATTGCAAATCACATAGAAGCACTACCATTTTTAATGGCAGTTTATAAAGAACAAATTAGAATCTCACAAGTTTGGTTCTAAAGATTATTGGCAGCACTGCAAGAGTGTGCTGAACAATAACAAATCCTCAATCCCTCCTCCATTCAATCAATTCAAAGTCCTAACAACCACAGCAGATAAGTCTGAATGCTTTGCTCAGAAATTCTCATAGAACTCAACACTTGTCTGGAGTAATCACACATAATTTTCCCCCTAGAACTGAGGCTATACTGAGTGAAATGAGCATAACCCCATCGATGGTATTGGACATCATCTCTAAATTAGACTCTCATAAAGCAAATGGTGGTGACGGGATACCAGCCAGTCCTAAAGAAATGTACTCCCAAGCTGGCTCCAGTTCTCTCCAAAGGAAACAACTACTGTCTCACTCATTCTTGCTTTCCAGCCTGTTGGAAGTCTTCCTCTGTTGTCCCTGTTTTCAAGAACTCCGGAGATCCTTCTAACCCATTTCACTACCATCCTATCAGTCTCCTACCACTCTTCAACAAAGTTTTCAAGGCTTCAATCAATGTCAAAGTGGTTAAGCATTTTACCTCCCATGATCTACTCTCCAACAAACAATATGGTTTCCACTTTGCCCAGTCTACTTACAGCCATAACTGAATATGTATAACAAGCTCTTGATAATAATGGTGAAGCTCAAGCTGTGGCTCTAGATATCTCAAAGGTGTTTGACAGAGTTTTGCATGCTGGCCTTCTACGTAAGCTTCAGGGATACAGTAATACAGGATTATTATTTGATTTAATCTAATCATACCTGTCAAACCATGAAATGAAGGTCGTTCTAAACTGGTTCTCTTTCAGTTCCTTTCATACAAACGCTGGTGTTCCCCACAGCTTAATCCTGGCTCCTACACTTTTTCTGATCTTCATCAACGATCTTCCTGATGTCATCAGTTCCCAAGTAGGCATCTACGCAGACAACACTACCGCTTACTCCTGTCTCAATAGTAAATCTGGCATTGCTGACAAAGTTAACCTGGATGTTGGTCTTGAAGAGGACCTCCAATCTGTGGTTGATTGGGGCAGGAAATGGCTTGTAAATTTTAATGCCTCCAAAATGAAACTACTCTCATTTACCCACCATAGAGAAATCACCCTATCTTCTATCAGCATAGTTGATGCTCAACTTCATGAGAGTATCTCACTGTGCCTTCTTGGTCTCATGTTTTCCATTGATCTGAGGTGGAACAACTACATTGAATCAATAGCTGCATCTACTGCAAGGAAAGTTGGTTTTCTGTGTCACACCAGAAGGTTTTTCTCATGTGTCCATCCTTCACATCTACAAATATAACATTTGTCCATGCATTGAATACTGTTGCCATATATGTTCTGGTGCCCCCACTGTTCACCTCGAGGTTCTCAACAAAACCCAAAGACAGATATGCAATGTGATCCGTCTTGACTCGGCATTTTGACTCCAGTCACTTTCTCACAGACGTGATGTGACTTTCCACTGTCTTTTTTAGAAATATACTTTTGGTAAGTGGACAGGAATTATTTTCCCTCTGGGACGGGTGTAATGCACGAATTAAAAATGTATAACATGTTATGTCCATTGATGAAATGTCTGAATTTCTCTCTCCCACTAATTGAAAATATCGCACATTATTTTGTCAATTTATGAGAGGAACATTTAATTTACATTTAATTTCAAATTAAAATTTTAATTTATATACCTGTGCATATTTTCGCCAAGAGCTGGTGACAGGGTTGTAATTTTTTTGCATAATAATAACCGATTTTCATGCTAACATATGGGTAAAAAAAAAAAAAAAAAAAAATGATGGTAAATCGAGTTTTAGTAAACATATGAAAAAAAAAGATTATTGTTTAAAAAAACTTAGAGCAATGGGAGACATTAATGTTCCTAAGAAAATATTTAAAAACACCAACAAAACAATTAAAAAAGAATTTAAAACTGAATTATTGGGGTCTTACTTTTTCATTGAACAAAAAATATTTTAAACAAAATTATACAATTTTTGCTTCTTCTTATTAACAATTCACAATATCATAAAAACATCCACTGTCTTTTCTTATTCTTTTATTGTCCACTCTTTTTAAGTAGTTTTATTCTCTTACACTCAGTAACTTCTTGCGTCTTAGTGGCTTTATTGTCTTGCTTGTGGAAATGTTTCAACAAAAAAAAAGAAAAATCTTTAGTCTTTAATTAGTAGTTTATTTTTTTATTTGCAATAAATGTAGAAACTTTAACAAATTCTGAAATATTTAAATAATAGTATTTGTTTGGTGGCGAACAACCATATTATAATGACAAAAAGAAAAGAAAATTTAGAAATTAAAAAACAAAAAAAAAACGAACATTTGTTTTGATTTCTACAAGTAAAAAAAATGACGACATTTCTCAGTTTTATCAACCATATGAATTCTCCAATTCTCTATTTTAAAACATCTTAACAGGAAAAAAAAATGAAACAAGCCATAGAACAGAGCTTTTGAAATAAACCAGCAAACTACGTTTTGGATGATAAAAAACACATAAGACGAAACAAACGTGATTACAGAAAATGATAATTGACATTTTTTTAAACAATGAAGCCGGCATGCGTGGTTACTGGCTGTTACAATCTGGTGACAACTACTGCTGCAAATTTACTTTGTAAATGAGTTTATTTTTTTTTTTTAAAAATACAATTGGAAATAAATTAGAGTTTAAGAATAAAGAATGAAATACTTACGTCATTTTTATCCCCAACAAGCTGCAAGGGACGATCGAGGAATTTGCCGAGGACATGAAGTTGTTTGTTCGTAATCATGCTGCCGGGAAATGAGAGCCGAACCGTGATGCAATAATGGATACGAACAAAAGTAAAACAATATAAATATTGATAACAAAAATAAACGTATCTATGTGAACCAACAACACACCAGAAAATTTTAAACCAAAATAGAATTTTGAAAATTGAACAGGAATAATAAAATTATTTTTATTTCTGAAAAAAAATCATAGACAGTTAAATTGTACGAAAGTACCACAGGTTTTGGTTGGCTGAACGTTTCGAATTCTTTTAGTTTCTTTTTTTTTGTTTTTGTTTTTTTGGGTTTTTTTATATTAAGTGAAATAGAATTTAATAAATTTTATTATTATTAAGTGAAATAGAATTTAATAAAATTTGATGTATTGTATTTTACGAAATCCTCTGACTTTTAGAGCTGAGAAAATGCTTCTTATCAGAAAGTCATTGAAATTTCTAGTGCACATAATGAAGAAAGAGGGCTTAGAAAATTTGACACTCACGGGACATTGAAGACAAACAAGACAAAGGAAAGTAGTGCATAACATATCTGACGAGCTTGTGTAAAAATGGTTGACAGGACGAATTTATGAGATAGCAAGAAGACAAACTTTAAGAGATACAAACTCTAAACAGGACATCGCCTCCTCTTTTTATACATCTTAAAACATGAAATAATTTGTATTTAAAACTATTAAGACAAAAATGTTACATTGTAATCATAATGAATTGTATGTACATAAATATAAATAAAACATTTTAAAAGAAAATTTTACTATCATTTTTCCGAAATGAAAAAAATATCGATACTGCGTTTTTGTTTTTTTAGTTGCTGTCGTTGTTTTACTTAATTGGTGAATTGTATGTTGAATAGGTTATTTTATTAGAAAACTGTGGATATATTTGGTGGGTCAGTTCCACGACCACTAATAATACTTTTCGATATCTCGCACGTAGTTTTTAATTTAATTTTAAAGTTCTCACGAAATTTTAATTAAAGTAATGAAGAAAAATCACTGAAAATGTCATTTCAATAAAAATTGTGGGAACATACTGAAAATTCGGCCCGAACCTTACCAAATAAAATTCCATAACACTTACAAGATTTTTTAAATGTTGGCGCTTTTCATAATTTAATAAAACATTTTTCTTTCAGATGGGACAGAAAAAATCTACACTTCATAAGTTCATATTCATTCATTATTTTTTCAAATTAGTTGTAATTTTTAGTGAGATTTTGAAATTCATCCTGTTGCTGTTTGTAGCAATGGCAAGGTTTCTTTTTTATTAAATAAAGGCATGTTTGAAGAATCGAAAAATATTGCAAACATGTTCAATAATGCCATTTTCAACTGCGATTTTCATTCATATTAACTAGTTAAGATTTTTTTTTCTATCGATGTTTAAAAAGGAAATAATTCTGAATTGTCGAAAGAGTAATATAATCCATTAACTCTTAAATTCAGAATAATTTAAAAAAGACTATATTGGATGACATCAAATAGGTAAGAAAAATAATCAGAAAATAAATAACTAAAAAAACTACTTCTAATGTAGTTTAAGACTAAGAGATAAAATTATTCATTATTGTTTCATAAACATATATGGATATTTTAAAATTACAATAAGGATAATTTATTGATAACTATAATAAATACCAATTTCTTGACTATTGCACTATTGGTGATCCGTATTTCTTCTTTTATATTTCGCGTGTTTTTTAAGATATTACAGAAGAAAATTGGTGACCTATAACTAACATCACAAGCTACAGTGCGTTAATAAACGTTATTTCCATTATGTATCAAGCAAAAAGTAAATACATCTAGTTAATTAATCCTTAAATTTACTGACTTTGAAACACATCTCTAAGACAAATATTTTAAAATTAAAATTACACTTTGATTTTGTCTATGGCATTTCGATGAATGACGAATGAACATGTCAATGTTAAGAATGTCTAACTCTAAAAACATTTATTTACATGCGGATTTTTTTTAAAAATATGGATTAGCTTCAAGTTATTATCTTTAAAACCAAAATTTAACATCAAAGAGGACATCAAAATTATTTAAAATGCATTTTTCAGTTTTTTAGGAAGTCTGTGACAGTACCTAGCTATTTTCATGGCTGCTGTTATGGGCGAACTATATTCCTTGCTTCTCCCAGTTCAGACTAGAACCCCTCAAGTCACATACACTAAGTCGACTCATCCTCATTCCTTTTATATTCCACTGGCGAAGAGGAAGTTCCACTTCAAGTCTAGGATCAACCATTATCTATCCTACATATCCCCATAATATGCACCTTGTAGGGGAGATATAACTGTGAGTAAATAATTAAAAATTCCCTTACATTTAGATATACAAAAATACTCGTAAAAATGAGAAACATCAAGACGTGGAAAAAACAAAAAGAGTATTATTTATTATCAGGTTGTATTGTGGCGTTGGAAACAATTAAGACCAAATAATGAAACAAACAAAAATTATGAAAATTTAAAAACAAATGTCAAAAAAAAATACAAAATTGGATACTTTTTTATAAAATGATATTTTTATAGATGTGTTTCCAGATAATTTAGTTGGAAAAATACAAGAACTTTAATTTTTTAAACCTTATATTTTACAATTTCTTAAATCAAACTGTAAATCCCAAAATATAACTTCAAAAAATCTAAAACATAAAACACACATATCACCGCCTGTGTTAATTATGTCCACACAAACATGTATATGCACAAAAGCTGAGTATTATCTACCATGTATTCAATTGTGAAAGCAGAATAACATATATCATATTTTTATTATTTCAAAGTCCTCAAGAAAATAAAATTTTAGCATTAAATGACCCATAAAGGAGTTGATATTTTTAAAAAAATCCCAACTCAAATTAATCAACATATTCTCATAATCTTCCTTACATATATATTTATACAACAACCTCATTTACTAACATTCTACCTTGAGGGGATCTTGGGCATTGTATTGCATATAAAAAAATATTTTATTAACTAAATTTCAGACAAAATAAAACCTCTTTTTATTGAACATTATTAATAAGATATTATACTCCGTTGAGTGAATACTTAACTTAGAATAGAAAAAATTACAAAGCATTTAAAACTTATATCAAATTATTAATCTCTAAAGTTTAGACACATATTCAACTGTTTGCTACTATTATGGTGCACCAGACATAAATACAAATACAACATTGTATCAAGTAGTCAGTCTGAGTAGTAGACAAAGTAACAGTCTGAGTTGATGTAGTCATTAAAAAATCATCTTGTGTCTAGTCTATGTCATTTGTATGAAGTTTCTATCTTCATAAGAAAAACTGAACTAAAAAACAGTTTTTTCCCCGGATATAACTATTTCTGAAATATAAGCATTATGAATTTATATTTATGTGCTTTTCTTCTTTTCTTCATCACTTTTACTTTGTGGATGTTTGAACATTTTACAAGGCCAAATTTTCAATTGCTCCACCTTCCATGGGCTCAATCTACCTTCAACTGAAAACAATTGAGTTTTTTAACATTTTAGAAAATAAAATTATCCCTGCATGATTGATATTGACCTCTTTGAGGGACTTTTACCAGAGTAAAAGAATTTTTAGGGAGTCTCAATAAAATAAAAAATAAAAATAAAATATATAAAAAAAAAAAAAAAAAAAATTCAAATTAGAATAAGGCAGATTGTGCTTTCCTTTAAATAAAATGTCTTTCATTCTCTCTCTAAAACAATTTTTTTTTCTTCCCTTTCTAAAATTTCTCTAACAACAACTAATGAGAAGGCAACTATTCAAATAAAAAGAACAAAAGAAGAAATGGTTTTGAACCCGTCTGAAAAAAATGCTGAAAGTTTGCAGGATCAGAGCCTACTTATTTTGAAAAGAAAATATTAAAAAAAAGGCAGCTCCATGTATAACTTCCATTATAAAAAAATGAAAAAAGAAAGAATGCCAGAAAATAAAATAATTTTGGCCAAAAAAAAAATTGACACAATAAAACATTTTGATGTTCTTGAAACCAATATTCAATAGTCCCAAAATTTGATCAAAATGGATATAAACTGACACCTCTGAGCTAGAAAAAAAGGGATTATAGAAGGTTTTACCACTAGAAAATCACCATGTTCACACAAAGTTGTTAAGAGGTTATCTGCTAATGATATTTCTGCCTTGCATAGAGCCAAGAAAAGTTTTTTTTAGATTGAAATGACCTAATTCTGAAAATTACTACTACCACTATCATGGTCTGACTTGAAATTACTGAAGTGGACACTTATCTTAACTGCTACCAATATCCACCTTATGAAATGAATATTTTGATAAACAAAATAACAAAGGACCTCATGACAAAAAAAAATAAATAAATATTATATATTATTTATTTAATACCCTTCAAAAAGTTTGTTTTTATCTAGTAAAGTTCTGATAAAATAATTATCCTATCAACATATATGCACACTGGTGACCTCCTGATGTGAATTTTTTTTAAACAACAAATTAACATTTCTGCATACTCAGTAAAAATGTATCTAGTTAAAATCATTATGATTAAATACCTTCAATATATTTGGATAAGCATCATCAACTTTTCATGAAGCTTTGAATACTGTCTTTGACATCATTCATAATTTTTTCTCAATATTTGCTTCCTATTTCCTCATGTCTCTGAAATGACTTCATAAACCTAGTATCAGCAGCAGTTCTGGAGGTATAAAACAATGTGAACCCTTTGTTTAATTCTCTTCTGGGTTTTCTGCCTTTTGAACAAGGTGACATGAAGTTTTTTTTGAAACAAATGGCCTGTGAACACTTCAAACTAAAACACACCAACACAGCAAGTCAAACTCAAATATATTCATTAACATTTCGTTGTGTATGCAATTTACTTATAACAAGAGAAACTCTTGCTTTAAACTTTCCTTTTGTCAATTTTGTTTAATAGATAATTATGTTGCATTACAAGTCAATTGGTTTGTTATTTTGTTCATATAACTCTTTTCACCATC